GGTACGGGGAAGGTAGTGGTATGGAAGGCACCCTCTGTCAGGGGGGCTCCCTAGCCTGGCGAGGACAGGGAAAGTCGGGGTGCAGACTGAAGCAAAGAAGACTTGAAGATAAATTCGAAGTCGTTGAGTGCGCATGTGCGCTCTCATGCCTGGGTCCCCGGGGCCTCGCCTGGCAATACCCAGCCACCAGGCTGGCATGTCAGTGGCAGAGTCTAAGGACGGAACCCAGCTCAGGCCTCGTATTGCCACCTCCGTGGTGTAGGGGCCCTCCAGAGCGGCACTTGGACCTACATGGAGACCATGTGGTTCTGCGGATCAAACTGGGGTCAGCCACAAGCAAGTTCTGTGTCTTAACTGGTTTATTATCTCTCTTCAGCCCCTGTCCAATTCTTTTTTTTTCTTTTTTGGGTCACACCCGGCTATTTACAGGGGTTACTCCTGGCTCTGCCTCAGGAATTCCTCCTGGTGGTGCTCAGGGGACCCAATGGGATGCTGGGACTCGAACCCGGGTTGGCCGCATGCAAGGCAAACGCAATACCTGCTGTACCATCACTCTAGCCCCACCTGTCCAGTTCTAAAGTAAATGTTATTGGGGCTGGAGCAATAGCACAGCGGGTAGGGTCTTTGCCTTGCACACAGCCGACCCGGGGTTCAATTCCCAGCATCCCATATGGTCCCCTGAGCACCGCCAGGGGTAATTCCTGAGCGCAGAGCCAGGAGTAACCCCTGAGCATCGCCAGGTGTGACCCAAAAAGCAAATAAATAAATAAATAAAGTAAATGTTATTTGGGTTGGTTGGGTTTTTTTTTTCTTTTTGGGTCACACCCAGCGATGCTCAGGGGGTTACTTCTGGCTTTGCACTCAGAAATTACTCCTGGCAGTGCTCAGGGGACCATATGGGATGCTGGGGATCGAACCCTGGTTGGCCGCATGCAAGGGAAATACCCTACCCGCTGTGCTATCGCTCTGGCCCCTGGTTGGGGTTTTTGTTTGTTTGGTTGGTTGGTTGGTTTGGGGGCCACACCAGGCTCTGCACTCAGGAATCATTACTGGTGGTAACCTGGGGGACCCTGTGGGGTGCCAGGAAGAAACCGAACCTGGGTTGCATGCATAAAAGCCAAGAGCCCTGCCTGCTCTACTATTTCTCTGGTTCTAAATTTTAATTTTTATAAAACATTGCATGTGAGGGGCTTGAACAATAGCACAGCGGGTAGGATGTTTGCCTTGTATACAGCCGACCCGGGTTCGATCCCCAGCATCCCATATGGTCCTCCAAGCACCGCCAGGAGTAATTCCTGAGTGCATGAACTAGGAGTAACCCCTGTGCATTGCCGGGTGTGACACAAAAAGAAAAAAAAATTGCATGTGACTACTGTTTATCTTGAGGGTTGTTTTTTTTTTTTGTTTGTTTTTAGCTTTGGCTTTTTAAATCACACCCGGCAGTGCTCAGGTGTTATTCCTGACTTTGCACTCAGGAATTACTCCTCGAGGTGCTCAGAGAATCATATGGGATGCTAGGGATCGAACCCGGGTTGGCCATGTGCAAGTAAAACACCCTCCCCGAGACAGCCCTGGTGACTTGAGTTTTGCAGTATTCCCCTGAGAGCTGTGCCAGAGGCAAATGTCTCAGTGGCCTCATCTGTGGCCCAGGTTTTAATAAAACTTTATTGGCCAAGGGCTGGAATAACATTACAGCAGGTAGGGCATTTGCCTTGTGTGCGGCCAACCTGGGTTCAATCCTGGCACTCCATATAGTCCTCTGAGCACCACCTCGGGTCACTCCTGAGCCTAGAGAGGGAATAGTCCCTGAGTAAGAGTGCGTGGCCTCATCTGTGGCCCTGGTTTCATTAAAACTTTATTGGCCAAACTGGTATCGACAAAAGTCAGAGGGTAGAAAAAATTCACTGTTTACCAAATGTGTATTAATAGGGTCAGAGAGATAGTAAAGAGATAGTAAATTTCTCTATCTCTCTGACCATCTCTCCCTGCCTCCACCCAACCAAAGAGAGAGAGAGAGAGAGACAGAGACAGAGAGAGAGACAGAGAGAGAGAGAAGTTGTGGAGAGAGTTCACATTTACTGCTGGAGCAGAATATCTGTCAGGAATGATAAAATTCTTTGGGTTTAGAGAACGATGATGGTTCCCCAACATTATGTGTTTATTTACTTACTTTTTATGTTTGTTTTGTTATTGGGCCACACCCTGTGGTGCTCAGGGATCACTCCAGGGAACTCAAGGAACCCTATATAGGATGTGAGAACTGGAACCCGGGTTAGCCTTGTGCGAGGCAAACACCCTCCCCACTGGACTGTCATTGAACTATCACTCCGGCCCAATTGTGAGTGTATTAAATCCCACTGATTTGAACACTTATCCACACTCAAAACCACATACACAGGACCAGAGACAAAATTACATGCACAGCGGGTGAAGTGTTTGTCTTGCACATGGTCCACCCGAAGTTCCATCCTGGGGAACCCACAAGACCCCCTGAGCCACCAGCAGGGACCCCTGAGTCCAGAGGCAAGAGTCAGTCCTGAGCATCACTGGGTGAGATTCCAAAACAACAGAATTACACACACATGCACACACATACACACACACACACACACACACACACACATACGTGGTGCTGATCTTAGGATAATAAAAAGCAAACACCTCCAGGCAGAAGTTTGTGGATTTATCTCATTTGTAAATTTGAGGGGCCCCCTGAGAGGAGATAGTGGCCCTCAGGGCTATTCTCATGCCCCTTTAATAGGCCGTGTACTTTTTTTTTTTTTTTGCTTTTTGGGTCACACCCGGCAATGCTCAGGGGTTACTCCTGGCTCATGCACTCAGGAATTACTCCTGGCGGTGCTCGGGGGACCCTATGGGATGCTGGGAATCGAACCTGGATTGGCCATGTTGGCTGCATGCAAGGCAAACGCCCTGCCCGCTGTGCTATCGCTCCAGCCCCCAGAATATAGTCCTATACTGTTTCTTTTTTTTTGTCTTTGGGTCACAACCGGCGATGCACAAGGGTTACTCCTGGTTCATGCACTCAGGAATCACTCCTTGTGGTGCTTGGGGGACCATATGGGATGCTGGGAATAGAACCCGGGTTGTCTGCGTGTAAGGCAAACGCCCTACCTGCTGTGCTATCTCTCCAGTCCCCAGAATATAGTCCTATACAGTTTATTTTTTTCTTTTACTTTTTTTTTTTTCTTTTTGGGTCACACCCGGCAATGCACAGGGATTACTCCTGGCTCATGCACTCAGGAATTACTCCTGGCAGTGCTCAGGGGACCGTATGGGATGCTAGGAATCGAACCTGGATTGGCCGTGTGCAAGGCAAACACCCTACCCGTTGTGCTATTGCTCCAGCCCCCAGTTTCTAATTTTTGTTGTTTTTCTAGTGAAATAGTCCAACTTTTGTCCTATCCCTCTGCCCTGTGGGCCTCATCTCACCTTCCACGGCTGCGGCCGCTGATACGACACGTGTCCACCAGGTGGCGCCGCCAAGCCTCCCTGCGCCCGGGGAGCGAGCTCACGCACGCACGGTGGGCGGCGCGGAGGCGGTTCCGTGAGTCAGCTGGCATCGCTAGCTGGGGGGGGGGGGGGGGGGGGGGGCGCGGGGTGGAGGAGCCGGGCGGCCTGGGCGGAGGCCAGACCCCAGGTTGGCGGGGGAGGGGGACACAACTGTGAGTCACCCGGGAGCCCCCGATCGACCGTAGGAGAGTCCCACGCGGGCCTGCCCGCCTGATTCGTGAACTGCCTCACCGGAGCGATGGTGAGCCTGAGGCCACGTCTCTGCACGGGCACACAGTAACCTCCCCAGCGGGTGGCTCGCGGGAGCGGTGGCCTCGCCAAGCCTCAGTATCCCCCCCTTTTTTTTTTTTGCACAACGTCCCCTACTTCCCGGGACCCAAAGGGCTGATACAAGGAGGTCACAGTTCGCACCCCGAAAAGGAAGGCGCCCCGTGGCCACTCTCGTGGGTGCACGCGGACCCGAAACTGTAGCGTGCAGGGTCGGTCAGCACCAACTCCAGACCTCGGTCCCCCCCCACCAGCCCCGCACCTCCCCTCCGCCGCGGCAGGTGCGCAGGTTTGCGAGTGGCCGGCAGGGGGCGCGCTGCAGGGGGAGCCCAACCGCCTCCCACGCACGGCCAGCCCTGAAACTCGCGGGGAGTGGGGAGGGGGCGCCCCTAGGGTGCCCCGGGCTTTAATCCCCCATTCGGGGGGACCTCGAGGTCGCCCACCAAGACCCCCAGGTGACGTATTTGTGTCTCCCTGTGTGCCCCTAATTTCATCGAATGCTTCCTGCAAACCCAGGCAAGGCCCGTTGGCTCTGGGACCTTCGCAGCAGTGCCGCGACCACCACCGTTTACGGGGGCCCTCCCTGCGCGCCCCTCATTTGCTTTACCCTCCATCCAACTAGGTGACAACCCCCCCCTTACATTCCTATTCGACATGCATGAAGCCAGGAGGAGTGATCCAGGGTCTGGGGTCCCTACAGCCAGGAGTGCCCCCTAACAACCAGGAAGGAATCAGGCTGCAAACCCGGCCCCCCAGCTCCCCGGGTGCAGAACCCAGAAGGTCACGGGCCGGGGGACTCTCCGGGGGACTGGGAGGGGATTCTGGGTCGCCCCCACCTCCTCCTTCTTCTTCTCCTCCTCCTCCTCCAGCCCCCGAAAGTCCAAGCCGCCTCGCGCGCTGGAAATCCCGCGCGCGCCCCGAAACGCGGCTGCAGCTGCCGGGAAATCAGGAGAGAAACTTCTGCTTTTTTTTTTTTTTTTTTCTTCTGGCGTTCTCCCACCTCCCGCGCCCACGTGGGCGCCCCGCGAGACGCTCCGCCCCCTCCCCGCCACCAGCCAATCGCGGCGCGTCCCTTTCTGGCCTTTCTGAACAACCAATAGGAAGAGCGGACGGGCCCACGGCGGCCCGCCCCTTCGCCGAGTCTATATAAAGGGGCCGCCGACAGCCGCGCGCTCAGATTGCTGAAGCCCCGAAACTTCTCCTTGTCCGTATCAGCTCCCTGGATTACTCGCTGACGCCGAGCCAGATTTAGCAATTTTTTTTTTTTGTTGTTTCGAAATTTCTTTTTTTTCCCCTCCTGTCTTTTTCCTGGAGGACGATTTCACTGCCTTTCGAAGGTCTTGGACGGACGCTCGGACAGAGCCGTGCAAAAAAAAAAACGCTTTTGTGGACATCGCCGGGCGCTTTTGCAAATTTGATCACCTTCTCCCGTGGACCTGTCGTGGAGGCCGGATCTTGCTTTCCACTGTGGATTATAACTGCAACATGACGCTGGAAGAGCTCGTGGCGTGCGACAACGCGGCGCAGAAGTAAGTCTCCGGGGCTGGCTCCCGGCACCTGAGGTCGGCGGGGGTGAGGGGGTGGTGGGAGCTGGGAAAGGGCCGGGCGCGGGGTGCGGGGACACGCAGACCTGGCGGTGCTGACCGCCTCCTCCTCCTTCCCGCCCACCCCAGGATGCAGACGGTGAGCGCCGCGGTGGAGGAGCTGCTGGTGGCTGCCCAGCGCCAGGACCGCCTCACGGTGGGGGTGTACGAGTCGGCCAAGCTGATGAATGTGTGAGTCAGACCCCCTTGCTGCTGGGGCGGGCGTGGGTGGGCTGGGGACCCCCCCTCCCCGCCGCTCTGCACGCTGCACGATGTGTGCCCCCTTTTTCTTGCATGGGGCTGGCGCTTTCCTCAAAGCCGCTGGCCCCCCGCTGCGGACTTGACAGTTTCTGCTGCTGCTTAATCTTATTTAGAATTTTCTTGGGAGGGGAATGGCATGAGGGTCTGCATCATGTGCGGGTTCCACCCCCCACACCTGAACCCCCCCCTTTGAGCTCAATGTCCTTCCCTCCCCCGCTCACCGCTCTGACACCTGCAAGTGAGCTCGGTCACTGGCGGTTTCTTTTCCCCCCAACCTCCGCAAAGGCTCCTCCCTTCTTCCCCTGGGCTTCCCAGCTGACCGGTCCCCGCCCCTCTCGGTCTCCCCCCTCTTCCAGGGACCCCGACAGCGTGGTCCTGTGCCTCCTGGCCATCGACGAGGAGGAGGAGGACGACATCGCGCTGCAAATCCACTTCACCCTCATCCAGTCCTTCTGCTGCGACAATGACATTAACATCGTGCGGGTGTCGGGCATGCGGCGCCTGGAGCAGCTGCTGGGCGAGCCCCCCGAGACCCAGGGCGGCCCCGACGCCACCGAGGACCGGGACCTGCACTGCCTCCTGGTCACGGTGAGCCACCGCCGCGCCCCGCCCGGCCACCTGCACCCCTGTTTGTCAACAAAGTAGCTCTGGCTAAGCCTGCCATCAACTCAGCACCCAGCCACGCTTGGCATGCCCCGGGGAACCTCATCAGCCTCCCAGTCATTTGGAGCCCGGTCAGCTGGACTCGGGGCCCTCGGGAGCTGGAGGTTCCCCATCGTCCACTCCCATAGAACCCTCCCTTTTTTTTTTTTTGAGGGGGAGCGTACCCCAGGGAAATGCTCCAGGACAGGGGTGGGGGGGGGGTATAGGGAATCTCTTACGTTTGCAGTAGGAGCACCCGGTGCTTCCTGCATGCAAAGCCGTGAACCCCAACATTTCCCTTCTAGACTGGGGACATAGTCCGGGCCCAGAGAGGGTGGGAGGGCATTTGCTTTGCATGTGGCAGACGGGTGGGGGGTGGGGGGGTTGTTCATCCCTGCCCATCCTGTTAGGGTCCCTTCAAGCATGATCCCGGAGCTCACAGCCGGGAGTGGTTTCCAAAACCAAAACAACTGACGCTCTTCTTTTTTCCGTGTCCCCCCCGCAGAATCCGCACACAGAAGCCTGGAAGAGCAGTGGCCTCGTGGAGGTGGCCAGTTACTGTGAAGAAAGTCGGGGCAACAACCAGTGGGTCCCGTACATTCCTCTCCAGGAACGCTGAGGGCCCCCCCGGCCCCCCAGCGGCCCAGTGTGAGAACCTGTGGAATGGCTGGCATAAAAAGAAAAAAAAAGCGACATAAATAACTGACCGCCTTCGCCTCCCCCCGCCCCCCGCCAGAGCCAAGACCACCCCCTCCAAAAAAAAAAAAACAAGAACCCAACCTCTGAGGTGAGGGGGGACAGGTCATTGGAACAAGAAGAGGAGGAGGAGGAGGAGGAGGAAGAGGAAGGAGAACAGGGGGCAGGCGGGAACAGCGCCATCAAGAGGCCAGCACGAGGAGGAAAGAGGGGGGGTCCCCGGCAGGAGAAGGGGCCCCCCCAGAGCTCAGGCCTGGTGACGAGCAGAAGCTGGACGCGGAGGGCCTGGATTCATACTGGGGGTGGGATGACGACGCACCCCACCCCCACCCCCCACCTGGGGGCTGACCGCTGCAACACGGGACTTGCTGATGGAAGGGGGGGGCGCCCACGGAGCCCTCCCCCCGGGACTATCTCTGGAATTCCCCTAGGCTGGGGCTGGAGCCTTGGAGAACCGTTTGCAGGCTGAAATGCACAAACTCTTTTTTTTTTTTTTTTGTTAACTTGCACTCTAAACTTGAGCCACTGACACGAGACAAAATGACAAGTACCTATATTTTTACTGCTACTTAGGATGGCCTTGTAATAAATGTCTAAAGCTTCTGGGTCCTGGTGTATCTGCCCGTCGGCGCTCCGTCTCTCCCTCCCTCCCTCCCTCCTTCCAGGAGGACCCAAACCCCTCAGCGCGTCTCCCCCCTCCCCCTCCCCTCCCCCCTCTTGCAGGAAGTGTTACTTAAGCCTCCGCTAGCCGCTCTGGGCTCCTTTGCAAAAACAGTGCCTCTTCTCTGTTCCCTCAGCCGACGCCACCCTAGTCCAACAAATCTTCGCCTTTTTTTTTTTTTTTTAACTTCTCCCTCCTGCCCTTAGCAATTAAAAGACCGGTTTATTACGAAACCTGGCTGCCAAGCCACTGCTGTTACTGGCTTAACTGGAGCCAGCTCTGGGCTGCAGGGCGCCTCTGGACATGGGGTGGGGGAGCTGGGGGCTGGCTGCAGACCCCCCTCCCCTCACACCCTACACCCAGGTCCAGAGCAACCAAGGAGTCTGGGGAGCATCGGGTGAGGGAGCCTCAGCTGCCGGGAGCCCTCGGGCCCTGCAGGAACCCGAAGCCCCTGAGGGAACCCCCTTGCTCCCCCTCATCCTGCCAGAGCAGCCTCTTCCGGGAGCTCAAGACCAAACTTTTCTTGTTTTTGTTTTCTTCCCCAAACTAAAGCAAAGGGTAGAAAATGCGCCCCCGCCCCCCCCCACACACACACACCACCTCCGCCCCGGAAGTCAGCCCGGGGCTGAGCTGGGCTTGGCAACACCTCTGCGTGCTTTTTTTTTTTTTTCTCTAAACCGAAACTGGGTGTCTGGACAGCTGCCTCCTCCTTCACCCCAAGTTGCAGGCAGGCCGGGCGCCCCTGCCCAAGCGGGTCGGGATCCCGGGCCAGCTACGGGGCTGCATCCCCTGAATGTGTGGGTTGCAGGCTGACCTTAGCCTCCCCCCTACTCCTGCCTGGGAACTGCGGGGGGGAACCCCCGGCTCTCCCTGTGACCTTTCCACGGAGCAGCACGTGGGCGCCCTAGGAAAACCCCGGTAGGCACCCCCAGGAATCCAGGGCAGGCTCTGGGGAGGTCCGTGGGGGAGGGTTGGGGAGAGGGAGGGGAAGTCCCTTGGGGGCCCAGAGAGAAGCAGGACCTGGCTGGCATGGGGGTGAGGACAAGTGGGGGGGAGGGGCTGCCCAGGAAAGAGAGGCTGAGAGGAACCCCTAAATGAGGAAAGAAGACAGAAGGGGGGTTGGAGCGATAGCACAGCGGGTAGGGCGTTTGCCTTGCACGCGGCCAACCCGGGTTCGATTCCCAGCATCCCATATGGTCCCCTGAGCACCGTCGGGAGTGATTCCTGAGTGCAGAGCCAGGAGGAACCCCTGTGCATCTCCGGGTGTGACCCAAAAAGCAATAAATAAATAAATAAATAAGACAGAAGGGAGAGGGTGGGAAAGATCCCCAACCTGGGGGGCTCAAGGTGAGAAAGAGGGTGCTCCTGCTGGGGCTGGGGGAAGGGGAACCCCAGGGATGGGGTGTGGGCTGGGGGGTTCCTGCAGAGAGAGGGACCAGGTTGACCCCTGCAAGAGGGGGTCTCAGTAGAGGGACACAAGAGTCTCTGGGGGGGGAGGGCAGAGTCACAGCGCAGCTCGGAGGGCACTGGCCTTGCAGGTGACTGACCCAGGTTCGATCCCCAGCACCCCATAAGGTGCCCTGAGCACCATCAGGAGTGATTCCTGAGCGCCAGGCACTTTTCATCACCACCCTGTGCCTCGGTTTACCCAACTTACCCAATGAAAGCCAGAGGTTGTAATTCTGCCTTCTCGGTAGATTAAGAAATGTTCGATGGATACAGTGGAGGGGGCGCTGGCCTTGCATGCGGTCAACCAGGTTCAATCAATCCCCATATGATCCCCTAAGCTCCACCAGGAGTATTGCACAGCTCAGGAGTAAACCCTGAGCATCGCCGGGTGTGGCCCAAAAAACTGAAAAGAGAAGATTCCAAGAAGCAGGTACGACGCGGTTAGCCCAACACATGGCACCGGGTCATGAAGACGCACTGTGCATTTCCAGAACCTTCTCAGCCCAGAGCAACAGGACAGTGGGGAGAGCTCTGGCCTTGTACGTGGTCAACCCAGGCTCGATCCCCGACATCCCATATAGTCCCTTGAGCATCACCAGAAGTGATTCTGGAGTGCAGGGCTGGCGTCCGGCACTGACAGGTATAGACCCCAACAGCCTCCCCCCGAAAAAAAAAAAATAAACCTAGAATCATCTCTCCGACTCCTTAATCCACCTAGGCCGGAGGCTGAGTGAGGGAGATGTATCTTCTGCCTTCCCTGTACCGCAAAGAAGACGCCAGGCCCCACTTTGGAGAATAAAGACTCACTGTTGGGGCTGGAGAGACAGCACAGTGGGTAGGGCATTTGCCTTGCATGTGGCCGACCCAGGTTCGATTCCCAGCATCCCATAAGGTCTCCCGAGGACCGCCAGGGGTAATTCCTAAGAGCAGAGCCAGGAGTTACTATGCATCGCCAGGTGTGACCCAAAAAAGGGAAAAAAAAAAAAGACTTTTCCTGGTGGGAAAGAACAGCAGATAGGGCGGGGTGGAGGGGCGCTTGCTGTGTGCACAGCCGACCCCGGTTCGATCCCCAGCACCCCACAGGGTTCTCAGAGTTCTCCTGGGAGTGAGCCCTGAGCTCAGAGTCAGAAGTCAGCCCTGAGCACCGCCGGATGTGGCTCCCACAACACAGAAAAAGTGTGAGTGTGATTTTCAGTCAGTTGTCCACATCTGGGGACAGAGAGGTGGCTGCGTTCAGGGTCTTTCCCCATCGGGTCCCCCCCTGTGACTCCCCACCCCGCAGGGTTATTATTGTCACTGTTGCTGATTTCACGGTCATTTCTGGCTTCCATAAAATAGTAAGATCTTGGGGCTAGAGATAGCACAGTGGGTGGTGAGCTTGCCTGGCACGGCCAACTCAGGTTTGATCCCCAGCGCCCCATAGGAGCCGGCCAGGAGAAATTCCTGAGCACAGGGTTAAGGAGAAAGCCCAGAGCACTACTAGGTGTGACCCCCAAACTCAGAAGTCTAAAACAAAAAGTTCTTCAGGGGCTGAAGCGATAGCATAGTGGGTAGGGCGTTTGTCTTGCACGCAGCTGACCCGGGTTCGATTCCCAGCATCCCATATGGTCCCCCAAGCACCTCCAGGAGTAATTCCAGAGCGCAGAACCAGGAGTAATCCCTGTGCATTGCCAGGTGTGCCCCAAAAGGCCAAAAAAGAAAAAAATCTTCAACTGGAGCAATAGGACGGGGGGAGGGCGCTTGTATTGCATGTCGCTGACCCAGGTTCAATCTCTGGCATCCCATGGGGTCCCCTGAGCACCACCGGAAGTGATTCTTGAGCACAGAGGCAGGAGTAACCCCTGAGCACAGCCAGGTGTACACACCCTCCCCACAATAAAAAGGAAAGAAAAGAAAGATTAGGAAGAGGCAAATCGTGAAGATGGGGGAGGGCTGGGGGGGGGGGTGAGTGTTCATGGGGACCAGATTTCCCCATTGGGTGGAGGGAGTGCTGAAATGTTCTGGAATCGGAGAATGGTATATCTCTTAAGAATGTGCTGAAACCACCAAATTCCCCTCTGACAGGCTGGATGTTGGGGGTGGGTGGGTGGGAATTTGATCCTAATTATATATCTAGACCCACACATAAATGTAGATTAATTTCTTTTTCTGTTTGTACATTTTTGTTTCATTTTGGGATCACACCTGGCAATGCTCAGGGCTGACTGCTGGCTCTGTGCTCAAGAATCACTTCCGGCAGTGTTCAGGGGACCCAATCTGGTCCCCATGAACACTCACCCCTCCCCCCGACCACCCCCATCTTCACGATTTGCCTCTTTCTAATCTATCTTTTCTTTCCTTTTTATTGTGGGGAAGGTGTGTACACCTGGCTGTGCTCAGGGGTTACTCCTGCCTCTGTGCTCAGGGGTCACTCCTGGTGGGGCTCGGGGGACCCTAGGAGATGCGGAGAATTAAACCTGAGAATTAAATCTGCCAAGCACCCTTCTGCTGCCTGCTGTGCTCTCTCTCAGGACTCTTCTTTTTTTTTTCTTTTGCTTTTTGGTCATACCCGGCGATGTACAGGGGTTACTCCTGGCTCTGCACTCAGGAATTACTCCTGGCGGTGCTCAGGGGACCCTATGGGATGCTGAGAATCGAACCCAGGTCAGCTGCGTGCAAGGCAAACGCCCTACCTGCTGTGCTATCCTCCAGCCTCTCCTCAGGACCCTTTTTCTCCTCCTCCTCCTCCTCCTCCTCCTCTTCTTCCTTCTTTTCTGTTTTAAATGACCTATGCCCTTTTGAACTTTGAACTTATAGGGCCTTCCCCAGGATGCGTGCCCCAGGGAACACTACGTCCAGCACTTGCTGGCACCTTGGCCCTCTCACCTTCCTAAGCTGCAGGTGTTCCTCTCTCTGCCGAGAACCTGACTCATGCTCTCCTGTTGGACCTCACCTCTTATGCCTCTTCTTCCAGGAAGCTCTTCAGGCCTGCCACGCACGCTCCACCCGTTTCTCCTTTCCTCGCACCTGCCTTCCTCCCGACCCCCAGCCTTTGTCTGAACCTCTGGATTCCTGCTCTCATTCCTTCCCGTCTCTTAGGCTCAGACGCTAAAAGGTCCACTGAGGGGCTGGAGTGATAATACAGCGGGGAGGGCGTTTACCTGGCACGCAGTCGACCCACTCTGATCCCCGGCACCCCATAGGGTCTCCCGAGCACGGCCACAAGTGCTTTCTGAGCACAGAGCCAGGAGTAACCTCTGAGCACTGCTGAGTGTGGCCCAACCCCTGACAGAGGGGAGCCCCAAGTCTCCCCACACACACCCCGTTTGGGTACGCTCGGAGCTGGGCCCTTCCAGAGCCTTGTGGGATGGCGCTTGGCAGAT